CATGAGCCTCATCATGACTGGCAGTCTGGGCTTGGCGGCGAACGTCCATTGGCAAAAGGACTTGCACTTGCCACCAAGGATGGGGTGCTCAGCGAAGGTCGGCTCGTCAATCTCCACACCAATAATCATATCGACCTCCTCCTCAATGTACCGTTCGGGTATGAATCGATCGATGGGACGGAGACACTCCACATCTATGTCGGCATACACACCACCCTCAGCATACATGACGAGATAACGAAGCAAGTCGGCCTTGATGATTGTAATGTTAAGCTCTCGGTAAAGGTTGACAAGGTCTGGTCTGTTGATACCGTGAGCGCCGTAGTGGAATTCGAGGTAATCGTTCGCGTTATCGTCGGTCAAAACCTCGTACCGATACCGGGGGTTCTTCGCCGGCCAGGTCTTCGCTGAATCCGAGTCGCGCTTCTCGAAGCCTAGAGGGCCGACCTTCCATGTCTGCCAAATCTTCCTCGGAATCACATCAGTTTTTAGCTGCAGTGGCTGTTGGTATCTGAGCTCGCGCCTGTAATTGTTGGCAGCCCGAATAGGTGTAGTAAAGAAGTGTGTATTGGCGAAGAACAAGAAGATAAAAAGCAGGGCAAGATATGCAGGCAAGACCCTTCGCACTTGGCTTGTGAGCTTGCCCGAGAAGTGCGCTGCAATTGGGGAATGGGGAGCCATTGCAATATTGAGGTGAAGCTTGGGTGGAGGTGCCCTGGGTCGCGTGCGCATGCTGTGGTTATTACAAAAAAGCAGGCGACTATTTCGATCCTGAGTCTTTGAGAGATTAGCTTACTGACTATCTTTTCCAAGACCCTCCTGTCGTTTTCACATTCGGCCCTTGCGCCCACCAATCCCCGCGCAGCTCTACTTCCTCGGTACATCGGTACAACTGTTGAATGCAGGACCAGCCTCGTGACGGGAGTCCAATAGCGCATGTGCGTCGCATGGCTAAGGAGCCGCCTGCATCGTTGCGGCGGCGATGTTGGGTCAAGAAGCCTAGGCTAAAGCTTCTCTCGATGATCCCTGCAAAATGGTCGGAGGCGTCGACACAAACGGTAGTATCCCCACTCAAGCCCCGCACCGGACGTCTCTCATCAGGAACGGTCCAACTGTATTGTCTATGATATCAAACTGTCTTGATTCGTGGGCTGTTGAACTTCACAAGATGGTGCAACCTCGGATCCTTCTGGGCTATGATGCCAAGTTCATCATTCCCCGCTTGCATGATCGGCTCGACCTGGACGATCACTTTATTAAACTTACCGTTGTGAACCACACATGCTGCCTCGGTTGAGGTAAGCTAAAGCCATAGCTCCCGTCAGAAAACTACGCGTTCTCTAGCCTCGCGCGACACCCGCACCATTCGCTCCTGTACCAAGCGTTTGTGGGATTTTAGATATTGATCTTTACATTCGATCGAAACCACAGTCGCCATCACTTCTGCTACCGCTTCGGATTCAGCTATGCCAGCCACACACCAGGGTTTGCTCGACAAAGGCTGCCTTGAAGAGGTCAAACTCTCGCCGACAATATGGAAACCAGTACGAACAACAAAATTGAGTCTCAACGCAGTGCGTCCGGAGTTCTTGAGCTTACGCTCTATCACAAAGAGCAAGCCTGCCAGACCAACAGCATGGCTGGACGGCCTAAGGGGCTTTGCGGCGTTCTTGGTGTACCTGCACCATAATCAACTTTGGTCTCATGGCGGCAAGGGCAATCAAGCATTCGAAACCTCATTTGGATACGATGGAAAATACTACTCGGCGGCATTCCCATTCTTTCGACTCATATTCTCCGGTGGCCACTTCGCAGTGGCTATCTTTTTCGTCATCTCAGGATATGTTCTTTCGCTCAAAAGCCTACAACAAATCCATGACGGCCAGATCTCAAGTGCATCGAACACCGTTGGCTCTGCCCTTTTCCGCCGCTGGCTTCGACTATACCTTCCCATCATAGTCGTTACCTTTGTGTGGATGTCGTTCCGCCATTGGAGTGGAATATCTGTCGATATGCACAGTACGGAACCTACGTTTCGCGAGGATGTTGTCAGCTGGTATCGAACCTTCAAGAACTACAGCTTCGTCTTCTCCACGAACATTTACGAATTCACGGAGCCCTACCACCCTCATTCCTGGTCGATACCGATCGAATTCAAAGGATCCATTATCGTTTACACCGCACTCTCCGCTCTTTCTCGATGCACACGCAATGCTCGCCTCATGTGCCAGGTGGCTCTGGCCTTCTACTTCCTGTACGTGGTAGACGGCTTCTATGGAGCATTGTTCATATCTGGAATGCTGCTCTGCGACCTCGACCTGCTGGCGGAGCAAGACCAGCTTCCACGATTTCTCAATGCCCTAGCTGGATTCAAGGAGCTCATATTCTTCCACTTGTTCATCGCCGCACTTTACCTTGGCGGTGTACCAGCATTCGATGCACCCGATATTGATCGCACAGTACTCATCTCAAAGTCTCCCGGATGGATATGGCTGTCGCATCTCAAGCCCCAGGCCGTCTTTGACGCCAAATGGTTCTACCTCTTCTGGGCTGCGTTCTTAGCCGTAGCGTCGATTCCGCGACTGCCATGGCTGAAGCGCTTCTTCGAAACCGGGTTTTGCCAGTACCTCGCGCGCATCTCCTTCGCGCTGTACCTAGTTCATGGCCTAGTCATCTGGACAATAGGAGACCGAATTTATGCCGCGGTTGGGCTTTCAAGACCATTCCACCAGGACGGTCTTCCAGGATGGGTCGACAAGTTCCCGCTTCCCAAGGGGGGGCCCATGGGGCTCGAGCCAGCATTTTGGCTATCGCAGCTAATTATCCTACCCATTACGCTGTATGCAGCCGAGGTTGTCACGAAACTAGTCGATGAGCCCAGCGTTAAGTTGGCAAATTGGCTTTACAGATGCACCATCCAGCCACAAGTCTCCCCTCCAAAACACCAGCGCAGCTACTCTGTACGTTAGAAGAAATTGAAATAGTCTTCATCCGCAAATCTTCGTTTGTGTCATCGCAATGCGCTGGCCGACTATCGACTCCTCTAGACACTTTTGGCTCGGCTTCATGTGATGTTGGCACGCCAGGGGCAACCCGTCACGGCGCTACTGCAGGTGCTAAACGGGTAAGATGCATTATCATGTTGGTGCAAATGTTTATTGGTGTTCCAAAGTGGAGATTGCTCCGAAGCGGCGCCCCATGGGGTACTTGCTCGGCATGGACTGGTGGTCCTTGCCCGCCTGCCGATCATGCTGACGGCAGCACCCGGAATTGGCGACATCACCGTGCGTGATTAACTCGACCCTTGCTCTCAATTGTGTTGGGACTTTGATCAGGATCAACAGGTCGTCGTCAGTGTCACTGTTCCATTCAGGCGACATGCACATCGTTGTCGGCTGGACTACGACACGGCTCGGCGCCCTAGCAGTTTGACCAAATGCGCATGTGAAGTTCCCCTCTCCTTTTCACGAAGGTTGCATCTAGACCTGACTAAAGGTCCATCGCGAAACCTGAGCTGTACTTCCGTACACATTATGCGACGGCGACACAACATTACCCTAGCGACACTTGCTTGTCTCGGAATCGTATACCTTGTCGCACAACACCGATATGGTTTCTCATATGCGCAAGGAGACGGGCACATTGACGGGATCGAGATCCTGCCATCTGACGGGCACCGTGTCTCCAACCATGACGATGCATCCGCAATCGGAGAGAAGGGCCTACTAGACGGTATTCGGCCGTCCAGTTTAGCCAACGCACATTCCGCTTCAGGCCTTCACCCGGAACCTTCCTTCGCAGGAGCCTCGCCACCCTTTAGTACGGAACACGTACCCGGAACGAAATACAACTTTCAAGACGAACTCCAACTCGAGCTTCCCACTTCAGTGCTCCAAAAGTACCTCGCACAGAAGCCTCGCAACTACAATCCCAATGGTCCGAGAGGATATGCGTATGCAACTTTTCTCGCTACTCGCAATCCTTCCTTGAAGGACCCGTATTTCCTCGCCATCCATTCGCTCATCTACAGACTACTCTGGTCATCCCGCACACGTAGTAAAAAGCACCCCTTCATCGTCTTCGTAGCCGAATATGTCACAGACGAGCAACGCGCACTCCTCAAAGGAGCTGGCGCCCTAGTCCGCGAGCTTCCACCTCTTCATTGGGAGTGCAATGTCGACGGCGTAGAAGACCGATGGAAAGACCTCTTCGCCAAGCTCAACATGTGGAAAGAGACTGAGTTTGAGCGCATACTTTTCTTGGACGCTGATGCTTTTCCGCTGTCGAACATGGACGATATGTTTGAGCTTGCGCCGACACAGGAATGCATACCAGAGAAGCTGCATCTCGATGACTTTCTTGAGGACGGCCCAGTGTGCGAGCCTTATATCTTCGCTGGCGTTGCGCAAGACCTCGATGCTAAGCATCCCAACATTAATGTCGGTTCAATGGTCTTCACGCCTTCTTCGCGCATGCATGCTCGACTGCTTCAGAACTATGTCAAGACCGACAATTACAATTGTTTGATGGCGGAGCAAGCATTCCTAAACTGGCAGTTTGGTCCTGAGGGCGCATATCCCGGGACGAAGTTGGAAAGACAATGGGGTGGTTTCTTCCCCACCGAGGGGGAAGGCGATGGCTCGTTGAAGGTAGTGCATGAGAAGCTTTGGGTCGCAGAACATGGGTGGATGAAGGACGAATGGGAGAAAGGCTGGAAGGATATGATTGCGTTCTACGAAAGTAAGAATTTTGCGAATGCGAGGAAGAGTGATGGTGTGATTGCTGAAAGTAAGTGAGTCGGTCGAGGCTTTGATATGCTTGCATCTATATTTTGCGCATCATGACTATATGATCCAAGTCTTTCTCATACCTACTAGAGTAATGTAGCTGTTAATGCTAGGACATTCTGGATCGATCTTGATGGCGCGATACAGTTAGAGCAGCTATATACTTCCGTTCCCTTTTCACTGGTCTCACGTCCTAATACATCCGCTGCAAAGATGGTCTGGACCACACGCAAAAGAAAGTACTCTGAGTATGATGGTGCACACATTCCCAATGACTACGCAACAAAGAAGGCGAAAGCGAAAGCGAAAGCCACCACCAGCCGGTCTACAAAGAGCCCTGAAAAGACGCATGTACCGCATCCAACACCCTCTTTACTAAGCCTGCCAGGCGAACTCCGCAACCTCATCTACACATTCGCACTGACTGCTCCTTCCAAGCAACTATCACCTCTACCCACATCTCGGTGGCGGCGGCTGCGCCAACCCCCAAACAAACACAGCACCTATCCCCCCGCATTCAACCAACTCAAACACGTAAACCGCCAACTTTACACAGAAGCCGCTGACTTGGAACTCCGCTACAACACCGTCCGAGCCAAATATGCCTCGGATCTCGATCTGCTCCTCGCAGGCTGTACCGCAAAACAACGCGGCTGGATAAACTTTTCATTGCACTACAAAAGGTTGGAAGACATCATACCTATCTTGCAAAAACGGTGGATCAGCCCGATAAAATGGGACGACCTCGTCTACATAGCACGTTTCTGCCGGAAACACCCACACATCCATGTCGCTATCACTTTCGCCGACTTCAAGTATCCCGCCAGCTCAAAGGAGAATCGTGATCTGCTGGAGTACTTTCTCACAACCGCCATGTACATTTCCATGGTGTATAGGCGGATAGATCTTACGCATCTGCTGCCGAGGGCGATGGCGGAGAGGCCCATGTATGGCATCACAGTGAGCGATGTTATACTAGATAATGGGGAGAATTTCGGGAAGACGTGGCCGGTGCTGAAAGAGGCTGTGGATGAGTTTGAGGCGGAGAATATGCGGTTTTTTCCGCGGTGGAAGGGTAGGAGAGAGGATGTGGTGGATAGAATTGCGAAGGGGTGGGCGAAGGCGCATCGAAGGGACGGCGGGGCTGGGGAAGATTGGAGAGAAATTTGCGAAGCGGAAGTTAGACGGTGGTTTAAGGAGGGCATATAGGAGGGCGATGCTTCTCGTTGACACCGCAATGTGAGTCACATGCACCAGACTGTGCTTGAAGGTGGAATATGTTCGTTATAGTTTCCACAAGATATACAAAGATGTCTTCTACGCACTGGCCTCCGCAGTGCTCTGCCTTCCGGCTATACTTCCGCCCTTCCAACTTCCCTTAGGGTCAATCTTATCCTGCACCCTACTTTGCTCGCCCTCTTTGCCCCAGCCACCGCCACCAGGCGTGTGGATGATGATCCGTTCACCAGGCCGCATGGCTGCTGTGTTCTTAGCACCCATGTTGATGTATCTGTACTCCACATCTTCCTTCCTGATATCGGCATCCTTCTTCAGCAGCGTTTCAACTGCATAGGAAGTGGTAGGCGCATGCGCATCCTCTACAGACTCCGTTGGACGCTTGGAGTCAGAATTTTGATCGATGGCTTTCTTGTCAACCTTCTTCACCCAGATGTTCAGACCGCATGCGGCGTCCCCTCCTCCTTCCATACCGTATGGATGGTAAACTCTTCGTTCGCTAAGAATACTGACTTGGACGGGGATGCGGAACTCGATGTCCCTTATCACGCCCTCACCACCGATGTGCATACCCTTACCCGCACTATCTTCCCTGAGTGAGAACTCACGGAGCAGAACGGGGTATCTTCGCTCGAAGACCTCGGAGTCGGTAATTCGGGTGTTGGTCATGTGCGTATGAACACCGTTGGTGCCGTTCCAGGTCGAGCCTGCACCAGATCCTCCTGCAATTGTTTCGTAATACCCGAAACCCTTCGTGTCTTTGCGTTCGCCGCTCTTTTCGCCTTCTCCGTATGTTGTACCGCCAAATCCAAACGTAAGGTTATTGCAATCTCCCTGACTTGCAGCACAGGCACGGAATGCTTTAAGGACGACGTCTGTCACGCGTTGACTTGTGAGAACATTGCCACCTACAACAGCGGCATTGTCAGACGGCGAGAGGAACGACTTCTTGGGGATGAGAACGTGAATAGGCTTGAGACAGCCCTGGTTCAATGGGATGTCCTCGCTGATCAGACAGCGCAGACAGTATATGATGGCTGAGTAGGTAACGGCTTCTGGCGCATTGATGTTTCCGTACACTTCAGGCCCGGTACCAGAGAAGTCGAAGACAGCTTCACCCTTCTCGGGATCAATAGAGACCTTCAGTCGTATTGGACTACCATCATCCATGAAGTCCTCTGCGCTAAGATCTTGACCCTCGAATCGCTTGTATACGTCCTTAAGCAGCGCGCGAACGGACTGCTCCGCATTGGCTTGTATGCTTGTCATGTAGAACTTGACGACTCGCTCGCCATAGTCCGACATTAGTGTGTTGATTAGGTTAATACCCTTTTGGTTAGCGGCGACCTGGGCCTTCAGATCATTGATGTTGTCACTGAGACATCTCGTACCCGAGCAGCCAGGATATTGGCCTGGTTCATCAAAGAGTAGCTCGGTGATGCGCTTCTCGTTGAAGTGTCCTTCTGACACCAGCTTCTCGGATTTGATGGCCGCACCTTCCTGGTAAAGCTCCTTTGACGCAGGGGGCATGGAGCCAGGAAGTATTCCGCCTATATCGGCATGATGTGCGCGGGAAGCGACGTAGAATATGATGTTGTCGCCACTGAACGCGGGTGTGATTACAGTGATGTCTGGCAAATGGGTACCGCCGAACATGGGGTGATTAGAGACAAGGACATCGCCTTTCTTCAGCTTGCCCTTCCAAATGGCGGCTTGTTTGCGGACACAGGTCGACATACTTCCGAGATGCACTGGTAAATGAGGAGCTACACTGGCGTTAGCTGATTCGGTTTACTCCAGCGATGAACTTACCATTAGCGACTAGTCCTCCATCCGCATCGAACAGTGCGCAGGAATAGTCCAATCGTTCTTTGACGTTTGTTGACACACTGGTTTTCTGCAACGCGCGGCCCATTTGCTCAGCAATAGCCATGAACCGATGAGCAAAAATACTGAGCAAAATCGGGTCGACTTCTTTCGTGTCGACCTGCTTATCTTGATCTTCCGTCTCACCAATGTTGATCACCACATGAGTATGGATGACAAGAGCAGTGGCACCAGGCGTCACGACGATGGTCTGCGTGCCATCTGCGATAATTGCCGGACCCTTCAAACGATCGCCCACTTCCAAATCTTCGAGCTTATAGACGGAGGTATCCTGCCGGCCGCCTTCAAAGAAGACTTTTCGGGTATCGTAGCGCTTTGTGTCTCCCGAGAGGTCCTTTGGTTTGATCTCCTTCAGTTGCTGATCTACACTCTTCTCGAGACCTTCAAAAGTCTTGCCAATGCCGCGAGCTCGTACGTCATCGACAATGATGTCGCGATCGGGTAAAGTAAAGCCGAACTCCTGATCGTGCTGCTTGACAAAAGCCTTCCCAAAAGCCCATTCATCGCCGTCGTACTCTTGCTCTGCCTCCTGCTTCGTCGGCTTGATGATCATGAGTGCCGACTCTGTTCCGCGATATCTCAGGTTGAGGTACTCTTCAAAGTGGACATGCTCTTCGTCAAAGCCCTGATCCCTAAGCGTACTCGTTGACTTGCTCTTCAGATCTGCCATCTTGTTCTTCAAGTACTCTCTTACATCCTTCTCGTCTGACCACACGGTAGATTCCGGCTCTTGTCTTTCATCGACGACATCAGCGAGTGCCATGCCATATGCTGATAGCACTGATGAGTAGCGATGAATCAGGATTTGCGAGATGCCAAGTGCTTCGGCGATGGCGACCGCGTGCTGGCCACCGGCACCACCAAATGTGGCGAGTCTGTGCTTGCTTGTATCGTGTCCACGGGCTTCTGTCAGACTTCGAATCGGCCGGGTCATGGTCTCATTAGCGATCTTGATAAATCCGTTTGCGATATCGTCCAGCGACATCTCCTTCTCCTTATTACCACCTGCGACCTCTTTGTTGATCTGCTCGGCCAGTTCCTTGAACAATTTCTCGCTCGCTTGCGCATCGAGGCCTTCGTCTTCATTCTTGCCGAAAATCTTGGGGAAGAAGTCGGGTAATAAGCGGCCAAGGAACAAGTTTGCGTCTGTGATGGTGAGTGGGCCACCCTTGCGATAGCATGCTGGCCCAGGGTGTGCGCTTGCCGACTCCGGGCCTACGACGAACAGTCCGTTCTTCCAGAACAGGCGCGAACCACCACCTGCTGCGACAGTGTTGATGTCGAGCTGTGGAGACTGTATGGTAACGCCAGCTGTGGTGGTCTCGAAGACGTGGTCGTAGCGTCCCGCGCCGTATCTACTCACGTCTGTACTGGTGCCGCCCATGTCGAAGCCGATGACGGGAATCTTGGTTTCGGGGTCGTATGACGTGAGCGCATAGCCAACCACTCCTCCCGCAGGACCAGATAGGATGGCTTTCAGGCCAGAGAAGATGTCGACGTCTACCAGGCCTCCGTCCGACTGCATGAACTCGCAGCGAGCGCCCTTGGAGCCCTCTTCGCGCTTCACACTCTTGGAGCCAAGACCGCCTTCGAAACCCTTGGAGAAGCCATCGATGTATTTCCGGATTGCGGGGGTGAGGTATGCGTCTGCGCAGGCCGAGGTAGCGCGTGGGACCAGTTTGATCATGGGCATAAGCTCGTGGCTCAAGCTGACGTGTTCAAAGCCAATGTCCCTCGCGATCTTGCCCACCAAGGCCTCATGGTTGGGGTATGTGTATCCATGCATCAAGCAGACGGCGATGCTCTTCAGTCCGCTATCGTAGACTTCCTGCAGTTGCTTCCTTATCGCCTCCTCCTGCGGTCGTTGTAGTATGCGCACAGTCTCGCCCGATAAGCCCTTGACCAGTTCTGCGCTGTCTCCGGCCTCTTCTATGCTCTTTGCCTGTGTCTGATTTCTCTCCGGATCTTCCGCGTAGTCTTCCAGGGTGACGCGCTCATCGATCTCGACGACCTTCTTGTACAGCACCTCGGGCTTCCGGATATCCAGCGCGAAGATGTTCGGCCTGCTCTGATTACCAATCTCAAGACAGTCCTTGAAGCCCTTTGTGACCACCATGGCAATGTCCTCGCCCTTCCTCTCTAGCAGCGCGTTGGTGGCGACGGTGGTGCCCATGCGTATGCTCTCGATCTTGGACGTGTCGAGCGGCTGTCCACGGGGGATCTCGGTGCCGGTGAACTTGGAGAGGAGGCGGCGGATGCCTTCGAGCGGCGCGTCATCGTAGTTGGAGGGGTCGACGGAGAGGAGCTTGATGAGAATGTCGTCTTCCATCTTGCCCGTGCCGGGGTTGCCTACGCAGTCCGTGAAGGTACCGCCGCGCTGCCTTGTCAGCTACAGTTGTACGCACGATAGTGAGACATACATCAATCGCGATGCGGATTCCCCGCCCACTGATCTTGGGAGTGGCCATGTTGACGATAGATGGTGAAGCTCAGGGGCGCAAAGGCATCAACAGGCACGGAAAGAAACTTCGAAATGGACAAAAGATGATGCTAGGTCGTGCATGGCCCGATGCCGGCCACACGCGACTGCACCACCCATGAGGCTCGAGAGTGGGGTAGCTCGATTGCTGCTGCCCCGCGATCTTTTGTCATCATTCGATTATTGATCCGTGGCAGGCGCATCATCGCTATCTCCGCGGCTTTCGCTTCATTGGGACTAGTGGCTGTCTCCAAGAGCTAGGCCAAATATGTGCACAAGGCCCCCAGACAACCCCACCTTACCTTCGCCCATCTGGCGCAGGCAAACACCTACAAGCCAGCTTCACTGATTTCTGTCAGATGCAAGAAGGTTGGCACCCGAGGAGCGTTTGAAAACTCGACATGTGGGCGCTATCGCACGTTCAGTTTGCCTGCATCCGAGCAATCGCTCACACCTCGCTCTATATCCGGACCTCACCCTGGCTAGCGCCTGCAACTCAGCCAGATCATATCAAGAACTATCCTTGTCGGCCGAGTCTTTATGGCTGCCGTATATTCATACCAAAAGACTCTCAAGGCAAACAGACTCCGCTGCCCCTCGTGATCAG